CACACCAGGCAGATCCCTGTGCAGATCCTTCTCCTCCCCGGCACTACGGCTCCCCTCCCCACACACACACACACACACACACAAAGCCACAGAGACCTCGCTCCACATCCCTCGCCACCAGTCTGGCCTCTAAAGTGGTGATGGGCATTACCGTGGCTGAGCCTCTGCGGCTTCCCGGAGCGTCCTGCAAAGTGCTTTATGCTCCAACTGCTGCACTAGTATGCTTATAGCCCCCCTCTCCCTAACTCACACCCACTCATTTCTGCTTAAACACACAGCGGAAATGCCTCTACAAAAATAAACCTTCATGAATTCACCTGATAATACTTCAGATTTACTGGCAGCATCTCAGGAATCATGCATTGAATATAAACAGCGGGCTAGTAAAAACCTTAACGCATGGACCTGGTCTGAAATTTATAACGGCACAATTCATACGAGTTCAATAATATGTTTGAATCAAATATTTATCATGCAAAGACTTCTTTGTGGGAGCCGAAAAGAACGGGGAAAAAAACACTGTGACTGAAGATGCAGCTACAGATGCAAATAAATACAACTCTAACAACAACTCTAACAGGTCCTTTAATGAGTACAAACATTGGGTGACCGGGTGGGGGGGAGAGTTAGCAAACCATGAGATGACAGATGATGCATCCTCGTATGCTGCAGGGACAGGCCGAGCCATGTTGACATAAAACCCAATACTTCCTTACAGAGGAGCGGGGCAAGCTTCAGCCAGCTCCTCGCCGAGCACTAAAAAACCCCAGCAAGCTGAAGCAATATTATCCGGCTTAGTGTTTCTAACATTAGATTTGTCTCTCTGTAGAGGTTCTCTTTTATTTACCCAAGAGCAGCACTAAAGACTCATTTTTATCCTTTTTAGGGAGAATTATATAAAAAAAAAGTCTAACTGAAAGTTAGAAAGCTCTGCACAAAAGAAATGCACACCCACAGCACAGAGCTGCTTTTTAAATACTTTAGCAGGACTGAGGACAGTCTTTAATTAACTGCAAAACTGCCCGGCTGGCTTGACAACACGAAATACATCTTTACTTTTTTTTTTTTCTCTTTTTGTTTTGGTGTGCATATGAGTGTTCACAAAGTGCCAGGCCACGCGGGAGTGTCCCAGAGCGAGTAAAATACACACACACACACACACACACACACACTTGTCGAGCTAAAACAGAAAACCCTGCAGCCGTCAGCATCTCTCCCAACACACACACACACACACATACACACATTGCTGCTGCAGCGTCCCAAGCACAGCTAATTAAAAAACAACAATTTCACAGGAGGGCACTCCAAACAGTTTCTAAAAAAGCAGCTCTCAGCACACCGGGGGATCGTCCAGCAGCGTGCACAGGAGGTGAGACAGGTTTCTGGGAGCTCTGCTTTTTATGGCTTCATCACCGCTGTGTTTTTCTACTACTCATACTACCGTGACCTCAATTTCATTCTGCTTACGGCACGTGAATAAAAAAATCGGAGAAAAAAAAAATAAAGAAAACCCTCTGCATGCTGGTGTGTTTGGAAAAGTTACAAATGAACCATTCTAAAATAACATTTTGCCGGACAGTAAAACTTTATAGAGCGTGGAAAAATATCCAGAGAGGAATGCTTCAGCAGGACCCACAAAACAGGCTGTATAATATATTTTAGTTAATGTTGTGGTTTTTTATAGATGGAGCTTGTGGCAGTTTCTAACAAGGCAGTCCATTACAGGGGTGTTGTCCAGTGATAGGCCTTATTACACCCGCTCCTTTCAAAGCATCTGCTTGGTTAGGGGAGAGCTCTCCCTGGGGAAAAGATCTCCCTCTTTCTAATGATGTATAATTGACCTCCAAACACCAGGGCACAACAAACTCTCTCGGGGTGGTGTAATTCCACTCTACCTTTTACATACCGCCCGTCTCGTTCGAGCTTGTTCCTCCTCTACGGCTATGGCTCCAGTCCAACTGACTGCTCTGCCTTTTTGCCTTCAATTTTTATCAAACCTGCTCTGAAATATTCTCGCAAAAAAAAAAAAGAAGGCACTTCAAGACCACAGAGTGTCTTCTCTTTTAGTATACATTTGATTTTATTGCCCCCTCTGGAAAACATGCCTGACATCTGTACATCTGATTTATTTTCTAGGCCTCAAATCTTAAAAAAAAAATTAAAAAAAATCCTCATTCACAAAAATACCTACAAAGCGAGGATAAACACAGGTCAGCAGTGTGGCATAAAAGGAGGCAAACATATGGGATAAAGGCTAATAAAATCCAATCTTGTTACTATATAATTGCACTGTATGCAGCGGGATGTATTGAACTGTGTTGGTGGGAGGTTTAATAACACAGTACACAATTGTTTCCCCCCGTCTGCACTTAAACCTGTTCCAAAGGTGCCAAAAAAGACTGCTTGCCAATTCCTTGATTTATTATAGCCAGTGAGAGCTGATTACGGGGCATGAATCAGTTGCTGTAGGAATGTAATTAGGCACGAAGACCTCTGTAAGGCTAGCAGCTCTCTTCACAGCCCAAAGCAGTTTGTGGGCTGACAAATGCATCTTAAATGGGTGTCATAAAAGTCAAAAAGGTGCCAATTACATCCTTAAGTATCCCATCAATGCAAACGGAATAAACAAGGAAAAAAGAGATACTTGTGTCTGCGTGATGGGAGGGGAGCCTGCAGCTAGCGTTTAACCCGGGAGGGGTGGAAAAAAAAAAGAAAAGTGTGAGAAGAAGGAGGTGAAGAATTAAAAGATGTGATGGATAACAGAGTGTGAGAGCAGGCCGCTGCCCAGCAGGTTGTTGTGTTTGGATGGTGTGATCTGGGGTTGCGGCACAGATTCACACAGCATCAGTAGAAGCAAATGTAGCAGAGGAGAAGGGGATATGCAGCAAATATGGAGCTTAAAAGATATGATAAAAGTAAAAAAAAAATACTTGTGGGCAAAATAAATATTTATTTTCTTTCTCTGTGTACTTTTCTCCTTACAAATGCCTTGAAAATGAAAAGAACTCCAAGTCAACAGTGTGAAAACAGGCCTGAGAAAGAGATCCCTCTCTCTGCTGCCAGCCACCTCTGAGCCGTGACTCTGTGACTCCGTATCCCAGAGTTACTGCTATGAATTTTTCCATTGTTATAAGCCGACTACGCTCCTGTCACAGAGCCGGATGAATGGCACGCATGGCAATAGATGTAACTCTTTGTTGCTTGCGAGGTATCTAGCAGAGAGCCATAATGTCCCAGTAATCGAAGTAGAATTGTTAAAAAGGCCGCACACAAAAAGCTGAAAATGTAGTGACAAGCATGAAAAGCGCTCATGCGATGAGAAACACAGGGGCACCCCAGGGTCCTCGAAGGCCAAACAGCCACCCTAAGCATTGTTGTTACAATATTTGACCCACTTTGACTGCAATCTCTGCTGCTTTTATGTGATAATCAACTAATTAAATTTACTAATTTGTCTCACTCCATGGATAATAGCTGACATTTTACTCCCTGTCATAGACCTTATTTGGAATATTAAACTTAATTTTAATTCAATATTAAACAATATTCACAGGAGGGAAATTCGAACATTATTATCATGTATCTATAATTAACACACTTATTATTAGAAGATATAATATTCTAATACTGTTTTATTTATTTATTGTGCTGCAGTGAGTAAATTATTAAATTAACAATCTTTATTTAATCACCTTACTAGTCTGCTGCTGTAATCACACTATACAAAAGAAGTACCACAATTCTAGAAGTTATTTTACAATTTCAAATTAAATTATTAATGCTCGTGAAATTATTTATGCGTGTAATATGTGCGTGCGCGAATGGCGCGTGCGCGAATGGCTAAACTTCTAAAAAAAAAAATCGGACTTTTTCTACGTTAGCTTTTTTTTAGCTAGCTGCTAAATTAAACTATTTTTTATTTCATCGTTAAATTGTTGCTAGAGCTCCTGTGCCGCATGCTAAATCGCATTGTTTCAAATTAAATAAAATAGCCTCACAATAAATGGAATAAAGAGAGAAAATGAAAAATAATAATTGATGAGGAAAAAATTGCGATCAGATTTTTACCGGTGGAAGACAGGAAGTCAAATTAAACAATCTGAGTAAAATCAGTGCATCAGATTTTTTTTTTTTTAATAAAATATGAATTCAATGTATTTGTGCTTATTGGAAACTTAATTTTAACCTACGCTATCCTATCTAAAACAACGTATTTAAAAGAAATACAGTTTGACATATTTGAGTGATTATTAAGCCGATGTTAGTGATGAATAAAGAGCACAAGAAGCACCCAGGAAACAGACACACAGCTGTCAGAGAGCGGAATGAAAACCGAGACTGCACGCGTGCACATTCTCGGGCCTGATTGGCATCACATCCTTTTTTTTTTCTTTTTTTTTGTCATCAACCCTCTGTTTCCGCAGAAAGAAATGTTGAAAATATCATGGGTCACCGTGACAATAATAAAAGTCAAACATGTAAATATAACAGGTAGCCTGCATGAGCGCTGATCAATGCGAGCGTCCTGCAGTGTGAGCACTCTGCTGCACACATCTCCAGTCCTCTCATTTAAAAATATGCACATTTTGTAAAAAGCTGATATTCATCTCAACCTGTTCCTTCTATTTTATTACTTTTAAAATTTGGCAAGAAGCAAAATGTCAACCTTAAAACTCGACTAAAGCAGCACTGGAAACATTTAATTCAGCCTATATCAATCCTCCATGTTAGTTTAAATATATGTTGGTTTTTTTTACACTTGATTAAATCCTGTAGGCCTACAAATCAAACACGACTTATCAGGCCGAGCGGCTTTTCAGACTGTGAATGATACACATACACACTCAGACACACACACCATGACATACACAACCGAGGCCTCGAGGCCAGCCAACGCCATCACAATGTCTTTTTCTCAAATCACTGCACACCAACCAGAGCCGTCTGAAGAAATGCACAAAGGGAGAGAAAAGGAGAGGAGCAGATATTGTGCTTACTGTTGGTAGTCGTGTTTGCAGTAAAGTTTTCTTTCTCTGAAGTAACAGCTGGTGGTGAGAGGCTGTTGACACACGGTGCACTGCAAACACTCCTCGTGCCATGAGGAATCGTTGACCCTCATCAGGAAACGGTCGGAGATGGGACGCTGGCATCCTTCACACACGGAGGGATGATGACAGTCGCTCCCTGGAAAAACGGCACAGGAGAAATGGAAGAGAGAAGGCCTGAATCAAGGACTTGAATTGTGTTTCAATACTTTCAAGCGTTACATTTAGACACACTGGCTTTCTTAATAAATTCAAGTGGGTTTTTATTATTTTTAATTAAATACAAACTACCGATTATAATAGATGGGTATGGCATTTTCTTCCCAACAAGGCCTACAGATACCATCACTCATCCAGTCTTTAGATTAGGCTGCTGGATTTCAAGGGGATGTATGTCCTTGACAGTTAAATAACAAAATAGTGACATAATTGTCCTTAAAACTCTATTATTGTGCTGATTTGCGTGCGTAAAAGTGAACCTTTGCCGGTATACACGTGCGTAAATCTCAAGAAACAACACATTAGTTAGCATGCATGCAAAGTGTTTGCAGCCAGGTATGAATAACAAACTCTCTCACACTTCAGGGTTTTTGTTGACGTTTTTTAAAAGACTTAAGACTCACCGAGCATGACTCCGAGAGTGGCCTGTCCCGAGCGCAGGGGATGATCTTCAATTTTTATGCCGTCCAGCATGATGCACGTCTCGGTCTGTTCTCCCACGGAGAGGCGCTCCAGTGACACCAGACCTGTTGCAATATCCATAAGAAGACGAATAAAGTCAGACTTGACAAGGGGAAATCCACAAAGCGTGCCTGTCTGTCTGCGTGGAGGGAGAAGAGCGTGAACAGGGACGAGGTGGAAACCTGTTGAAACCGTTCGGTGCTCCGCGTGACACAGACTCAGCCTGCAGCTCGGAGGAGAAAAATGGGAAATGAGCTTTAGTGGAAGAAATGCAAAAAAGTCGACTTTGAACTCGCACTAGTTCTAAAGTAAAGATAGTTTGAGCCGGCTACGTACATCCCAGATGTGTGAGAGCCGCTTGGAGGGACAGAAAGCAAACAATAAAGGTGTAAAAGTCTCTGAACAGTCACCTGTTATGAATACAGACTGAGGAAGCTCTATCTTCAAGCCGACCAGAGAAAGCGGGGCTTCTTCCCGGAATGACACTTTAGTCAAGGATGAGACGAAGAAGAAAAAGTTGACAACAAATCCCCCCCAAAAAAATGTAAAGCAGAGTGTGTGTCTGTTGATGTCCCAGCCGGCTGTAACTCTTTAGAAGTAACGCGGACGGTTGGTTGGTTTGTGCTCCTGTCGCTGCAAAAGTCTGAGATCGAGATTGAAGCGGGTGGATCCTCCCACTCCTGCATGCATGGCTTCACTTTTTTCTTTCCCCCATTCACCGCCGTTGGGATGCGATTGGAGCAGAGTACAGTGTGCAGCACACAGTCCAATAACAACACACACACACACACACACAACGAGGAAACCGATCATCAATAGACTAGAGACAGAAAAATGATATTTTACAGACAATGATGCAGCAGAAAAAAACATTAATAACAACAGTTGTTATAGGCCAAAGCAAAAATGATAGAAAAATAATACAAATTAAAACAGCGTTATTTTAATTATCATTCCAAGTAGCCGATAATATAATGCGTTTTGTGGTAAAATAGCACCTCTGTGGAGATAATTCAGAAAAAAAAAGAAAAAAAAAACAGGCGTGGGAGGAAAAAAAAAAAACTATGTATAGGCCTACATATACGTAGATTTGATATTGATGATGAATTGTTATATTTGGCCCAGTATAGTGAAACCGAGATGAGCATCTCTTGCATTTTTTTCTCTTTGTGTATTGTTTTAGTGGAAGCTGCTGTCTCCTTTCAGCTGATGCACCTGGCGATCAGAGTGATAACAGCGCTCTGTGCAGCACCAACAGGGCCGATACCAGACAGATATCTGGCTCTTGGTCGGAAAATATTCCAAATGATTATAATATTGTAAAATGTCATTGATAGAAAATGCATCTGACTGACTTGTGCTTGATTTATTTTGCAGAAACATAGGGGCAAACATCTTTTTTTGTTGTCTTGAGTATTCCTAAAACAAGGTATTATTTGTGTTTTGTGTGTGTGTGTGTGTGTGTGTGTGTGTGTGTGTGTGTGTGTGTGTGTGTGTGTGTGTGTGTGTGTGTGTGTGTGTAATTATTTTTGCCATTAGAATAAATATAGCCTACTTGTGGCATATGGGCGTTGCAGGATTTGTAAGTTGGCACAATGGCGAATGAAAAAAAGATGAAAGATGAAGATGAAAAATGATTAGCTGATATTTTCGTTATGGTGTTATCAAGACGTATACGCAGAGACATGGGGACCGTTTCACTGAGGCCTGTCGACAATAACAGCTCTGTTAACAGGATTGCGCACTGCTTCCATGACACGCTGCGAGAGGATCATTGTTACCATCTTTTTTTTTTCTAAAAGCAAGTTTATACAAGCAAGACAACAGAACAGCACAAGACACATGGAAAAGCTATAGGCATGCTTCAAGTTTAAGGAAGCTGATGCTAGTTTATATGTTGACTTTATTTGATACCGCTTCAAAATAACAGGCCTGATAATCAACTGAATTAGCGGTTAAGTAAATATAATTACATGTAAGAGAAGGCAGACCAACCCTTATAGACAATTACACATCTGACATTAAAGTTCAATAATACTAAGAACAATAATAGTAATACAAAATATGATTAGGTCTAATAGTAGTAATAATAATAGTTTGCAATTATGTGGAGAATAAAAAGTCCTTCTAAAACGTATTGTGTAATAAAGGTCAATTTAATTGATGGGAGGATAATAAAATCATATATTTTTTTAGATTGATCTCAAGTCTGCCTCAGTGTTTACCTTCAGTTAGGCCTGGATGTTTTGTTTCTGATGTTCTTTGTGAAGCATCCAAGCGATGACCTGTAGCCTAGATCTGAAGACGGAGCCGGAGCTGCTGGCCTCGCCCTCTGCTGGTCAGACAACGAACTGCAGCAGCTATACACAGGCGCTATAGAACAGACAAAAAAAATCTCTTGTTTTCGCATTGATTGACAAATTCTGAAATGGTGAAGCCATCGCAGAAATGTAAAGCACAAAGGACATTCAGTATTGCAGTAGGCCTATTTTTGTATTTCATGAAAGGACACAGATGTAGGCCTATTCTCTCTCTCTCTCTGGTAAGATCACTCCATACCTGACAGTCATGAAGTCATCCTCCCCCGGCTTAGATTTTTTTTCCTCCCTATTTCCAGCTTCTCTATCAGCATGGGGCCAATTCCCTCCGCCTCACACTATATTGGATTATCTCATACCAATAAGCGGCATTATGAGCTGAACAATATCAATACAAAATAATCAATACAGTTTCTTAAAACATATTAAGCCTGTGTTATCCTGCTTGTCCTCCGCCAGCTCCCTCGTTCATTTAGCAGCCATCGGCCGGGTCACTTGTGTGAATGAGGACATCAAACATTCATTCAATAAATCAATCCGCCAACTTTTAGCTCGCGGGTTTTTAATGAGCCCCCCCCCCACACACACACACACACACACACACACACCCCACCCCTCACCTCACCTCTGAACGAGAGGGGGAAACACACGCGAGCAGGTGTGAGAAGGAGGAAAAACGCTCTACTAAAGTTTAGTAATGTATCTTAAAGTAAGCAGAACTGTTGCGTCCATCGGAAAGGTAAGAGAGAGCACATTCCTGCAGCCTCGCGGACAGCTGCGATTTGGATTAAGAGCTTCAAATTTAGACTAATCATTTGAAATATCGAGGACGAAAATATGTAACGCAGGGGGTGATTGCAAAAATAAATAGTTCGGGGGGGGGAAAAAAAAGCGAAAATATGATTAGGTTTTTAAATAACCAGCGGAAGAAAAGGGGGGAAAACAAATCTGTGAATCTTTGCAAAGTTTTGACGGCGTTGTAATTCAAATTGACTGATTCAAATCGACATTTTGGAGAAAAATGCATCAAAAAACGAATAATTTCACGAGCATTTATCAGCCTTGTGCTTTTACGTCTTTCTAAATGTAGTTTGACTGGGTTTATATCGACAAAGAATAACACCTAACTGAGCTTCAGTAATTCCATGCAATAAATAAATCAAATTATTCCTCCGTTTAATTTATGCCTTGTCTGAACAAGTGCATCAATCAAATTAGAATATACACATATAGACAATTTATCTGCTTTAATTACATTAACTTCCCGCTGTTTACAAGCCACGCAGGATCCATTCATTATGAGCTCAGAAAATAACTCACACAACTCTCACTGAGTCAGGCCTCAGAGCCTCAGGCTGATCAATCACACAGAGATAATCCTCAACGTAAATCCTTCAAATATTACAATGAATATATGAACAGGAACACGCTTCTATGGGCACATCTATTGCGTTTTAAATGTCGCCACAGTTGTGTTTGAGCGCGTTTGTTTTATATAAGCAAAACAAGGCGCACTGATTAGCATTTAAAAAAAATTAAACCCCTCTGTGAAAAAGGGAAGGACACTTCTCATGCTCCAAGGAGAAACGCAGCAAAGCAAAGACATCATGGCTCCCTAAATTGCAGGGCTGCAGGACTTTGATAGTTAACTCCTTTTGATCTTTTAATGAGCGTTTCGAAGCTCTCCATGATGCTTTTTTTAAAAGCTCCAATGAACAAAAAAAACCAAAACGGGTTACTTAATTTGTTGGCTGCACAGTTTCACTCGAGCTTCTGCAAAAAGTCAGCAGCAGCAGAACATCCTCTGAGGCTTTCAAAAACCTAAACTTTTTCGATTATCGTCAATATGCAAATTTTTATACTGGAGATTCTGTAAAAACTGTCAGTGCTGCTGTCAGAGGGTTTGAGGGCAGATCACTTTCTTCGTCCAGACGACGGATCCGCTGACTGCTCCTGGATCAGCAGAATGAAGGTTTGCACTTCGGCAACTACATACTGTCTTTGCTGAGTATTTATGTTTTCGCCAGTTTTTTTGTTGCTTTCATAAAATATCGTTACATTTACAAAGAATCAAAAAGGCAGAGCTGCAATAACGAATAGGACACATAGGGCCCCACAGGCCTGAGGGCCCTTCAGTTCTAAATTAACAACTGGTTTAATTTCACTTTTCTTTAAAATTTAAATCCCAAATTAGATTTTTCTACCTGTGCTTTGAATATGAATATTTTACAAGCATTATTTGCGTGCATTAAATTCGCATTGAACGGTTCATTTGCAATATATAGAGTGGATATATTGAGATAACACCCCCATCTCCCCTCAGTCACATTTTTCTGCTTTCATTCGACTGAGCAACATTCTCCGTTTGACTGAGACAGCCAAAAAAAATGATACTGCAGGATAATCCCAACTCCCCGGGGATTAGGCCAAAGTATAATACAGCACTGTCAACCCATGCTGAGATTTGTTTATGTTATGATTTATTGGATCTGCCGGTTTTTTCTTCGTTTTTTTTTTCACTGACAAATGTATTGAGTTCCTGACAGATGGTCTGACAGAGTCTGTGTGTGACAGACACGACTGGAAAGTGTTTACCTGCAGCTGTGCACTTTGTTACGACACAGAGGAAAACTGAAGCTGTAATGAACCTAATATAAGATTTCATAATAAAGACCAGTGATACAATTACAACTGGAAAAATATATCAATTATTAAACTTAAACTGCCATTACTACTTTAATCCCTATTTATGTGCATTAAACCATGTAGCTCTATGACGCAATACGTTTCATTCAAAAATAATGCAATTAAAGAAAAATGAAAAGATCAGGATAGATAGATAGAGATAGATAGTGAGAAAGCTAAAATAAATAGGTTATTTCAAAGGAAAATATTGATTTGAAGTGGTTACAACATTTACTGTAAATAAACTGCTGTAATTTAGAGATTAATTAAACGTATGAGTGTTTTTGCATAGCAGGGATACATCTGAATATCAGGGTCAGAGACGTGCAAACATTTCAGTCCTCCATCTCCATGTTAAAGCTCTATTTACATTTATTTCATGTGTGTGACTTTAAGTCCAACATATGAACCATTTGATTTAAAATGTTTAAAAGGGAAACCTACTATTCTTTAAAAATGATAGTAATTTATTTTCTGTTATTTTGGTTGGGATCATATCTGCACATCATCACTCTACAGACTCTCTCTGACTTGTTTTTGAAGTAAAGGTTCATCTGGTGACAGTGATCCAGGATGCAATCAGATTTATGCACCATGTCCTCCGACTCAGTCTCAACACAGCATTACCTCATTGTTGTTTTATACATACTACAGAACCCCCTAAATACTGCGATCTGAATTACAATGTTTCCCCCTGCTGGACAAAAACAGGCAGTACAACTAACTCTGCTGCTCCAAAGCAAAACCCCATACATAACTTTATAATATATCGAAACTACAAATAACAAATATCAAAACTAAAAACAAAGAAACTGTTATAATATATTGTTTTAAAAGAGGTTAAAAAAGATATTGGTTAATAGGTTAAAAGGCAGCACAACAAACATAAAGTATAAATAAACATAAATGTGATTATTTCACATTATACATAAAAACAATTTATTATACAGTCATTTGAATTTTTACAAACTTGTAATGAAGTACTGAACACAGGATTAGCCTTTTCTTAAACTCCACTTAAAAGTCTGTTTTAAAAATGTCCATATTAAACTTATCATGTCGTTTTAAATACATTTTTTGGAGCAGGTATAAAGTATTTTTTTTTTTATTATTACAATATGTTTATGCAGATTGTTATTCTGTATCTTGCACTCTGTTCTGTGTTTTTAAAGGCCCATCCAGAGATGGACATTGCAAATGAGCTTATAGGCTATAAATGCTGTAGTGTGTGGCCACGCCTTATGTGCTCCATACTTGTCCCAACACAAATAAACATGAAATAAATAAAACATAAACTAAGATTTATTTATAGATTAATTACTGCAAGTCTTTTTTTCCCATGATAAATAATAATACAAACCAAAATAACATCTATAATGAACTCACCTGACTTGAATATGCTGATAATTCAATTTTGACGTTTTAAGTAATGTAATGTAGTCTTATATATTTTTTTAAAAGGTGAATTTAAAAAACAAAGTGTCAGGAATGTGAGAATGTTTTTTTCTCCGCCTTAAGGTGATCTTTTCTGAACATGAGCTCCAAACAACTCCATAAAGTGTAGAGTTCATTTAAAGAACTCAATACAAATAAAATATATGTCATTTAAATTACTATATATATTTGATAGAAATTATAGAAATATTAACATTTTAATATGTTTTATGTACCTCATTATTAAATTGTATGTTTGGTTATATCTGACTCTGTTAGTGTTCAGTCAACCCTTCTGACCTCGAGTCATTATTAGAATGTGAAAGTTTATTTAGTTATTTAGTATTTCTTTTTAGTAAACACAGCTGAAGATATATAAGAGGTATACATTTTCTCGCTGTTTGTTGATTGTAAAATGTTTCTGTGCTTTTCAACTCTCATTTTGCAGTTACACCTTACAAAGATATTTCACTGTTTGATGTTTGATCCTGAATGACAAACATTTAAAATAAACAAACACTAACTAAATCAATTTTTCATAGTTTTTTTTCCATGTTTATTTTGTGTCATTAAATCTTTATTGTTTTTCATATGTCACCTTCAGTTAACTAATGAGAGAAACCTTTTTTTTTCATCATAATTAATGATCTATGACTTTTAAAGAGTTGTATTTCTTCACTATTTCTTCCCTTTATTTGTTTCTCATCAAAGCTAAATAGTCAATTTAACAGGATTTTTGTTGAGTAGAACAATGATAATAATTTCAAACAAAAACGAATTCCAAATGTTTGGTTCTACGCGCAGTGAATGCTTTTCTTCTTCCAGGGGGATTATCTTCAAAACATTCAACACAGTTTTTCAAAGTTGGATCCCAGATGGTAACAGATGATACATTATGAAACGCAGCAATAACAAAATCTCTTTATCCTGTGATGTGGGGATCTCCCCTTCCCTTCTGTTTCACTTCACACACAGGCCACGGCCAAACATCTTCATGTGAGCTTAAGCTGTGCAGACACATGAGGAACGACTTAAAACGGCTCGGCCACTTTTAACTAAATTAAACTTTCTGCTCCAAAATGTCCCCGAGAGGAACGCACCCACAAGTATCTGTGACCTTCTCTGACTGCTGATGAGAAATCTTAAGATCTCCCTCTAACCCAGGACCGTTTCATATCCCACCCAGAGGTGCTGAGTGGGGAAGCGGCACAGAAACAAAACAATTGGTTTGGCCTTTGAGAAAACTTGAAATGTGCATATAGGCTACACGACTGATATTGTACGGTCTGTGATGCCACAGCGGGATACGTGGAATTTGTTGTTACGTGACTGTTTTCATCATTAGCAGAAACCTGAGCTCAGGAAAGATTTGCAGCACCTTTCATCAGACGATCATGTTATTCAGTGGATTTGTCTAAGCAGAAATAATGTTTCCTCTGACAGAAAGAATGAGAGGCTGCAGGAGGCCAGGAGCATGATTTTAGGATGTGTGCCATTAACAACAAGAGTATACCCGCTCCTCGTGTGGAAGGCATACATTCTTTTTCTGATGAATAAATTGCATGTGCTCCCACACTTTGTGGTTGAAGTAGTGAAAGATATTCTAAAAACATCTAGATAAACATTGGAATTAAATTAGTCTTTTTTCTTTTACCTTAAAACTCTGGTTAACCTCCTTCAAGCTTCAATCCACGAGTTCTTTCCTCTGCGTGAACAAAAACAGGGACAAAAAAAAAACAACAATAAGAAATTAATCATTCAAATGTGAAGAAAATATGCAGAAAATGTGACTTCTCAGCCATAAAAAAAACAGCAATAAAAAAAAACAATCCATATCATGAGACATCTGTGTATGTGTGATTCTTTTTGGTCTCCATAAAATACAACTGAATATGTTTTGTGTGTACTCAACGTGAGTGTGCGTTCACGTATATTATTGCGGTTGTGTCATTAATAGGCTGCACTTCAGAGAAAAAAAGGTAGAAATCCTCCAGATGTTTTGCAGCTGGGTGGATCTGGTAGTGAAGATCTAGACAGCATCTGTCACAGGCGAACATTTCTAATCTGTCCTGAACATTAGGCAGAGAGCACTAAAAACCCATCACTGGCCGCATGTGCTCGCCACAGTCTCGGCAGACAAAGTTCAAAATTAAAACAAGGGAAAAAAGCTGAGGAATAAAAAAAAAAAATGAAAAGAAGAGTTGAATTTTATCTACATTGTTCCTCTATAGTTTAAATAAAGTGCTAGCTGCTGAACTTTAGGAAAGCAAAAAAAAAAACACACAAAAAGAGCTAACAGGCTAACTGAAGTTTTAGGAGCACAGCGCCTGAGGCTAAAGAGCGGCGCTTTGAACTGGAGGTCCAGCAGAGCTTAGTGAGGTCAAGATCTGTCAGACAGTGAGAAGAGCTAACATCAGAAAGGTCTGGATGAACGCTTTCTGCAACAACAAAGCTTTGTTTGTATTTTACAAACTAAAGAAATACCTGTGCATTGAAGCTCTGGAGCGCAGCTTTCTAATGTACATTTTTGCTTCATGAAATTAACTGATCTAAAAGTTAAAGGACTTCTGTTAAGGAATATTTTTGAGCTTAGTCCAAGCCTTCACAGACAGATGGAACTCACTGTTTCTTGTTTTTTTTCATGGCGTATATGTCATTTATTTCTGGAAATGTTGATAACATTGTTGCTATGTAACTGCTGTAAATCGGGAGCTAACTATGTCTTAAGCTAACATTCTGTGGAACTGTGGGAATTGCTCCAAGCTGACCTTGATGGTCTCTAGATATTTCCCTTCCTGGGTTCATGTGCCTAGTTACCAGTTGGTCAACCTCATGCCCTGTGAACTGACCCTGTCCTCCCTCCGAGGTTTGAAAGAAAAAGAAACCCAATCCTCCAGGGAGCGCTCCGACTAACAAGAAAACTGCTGGTCCGAATCTCTCAGAAGTGCTGTGTTTTCCCACTGGACCACTTTCAGCTTAATAAACATCTTAACTAGCTAGAGGTCCCACGGGGGCTGCTGGGAAATCCTCTGGGCAGCCAGAGCTCAGGAGTCGGCCCTTTATTGCATCCAGGTGGCTGTTAAAAAATGCTGGCCGGCCCTAAATGTCCAATAAAATGCAAGTGGCACCTTCGGGGGTGGACAGGGTCAGTGCACCTGTCTGTGGACGAAAGCTGCACTCCCTCGCCCCTGTCCACTTAGTTTACAGTCACACACTCCAAAGTTGTGCCACCACCATGCCCATGGAAGCATTAGTGTTGGGGTGTAACTTAGGAAGAAGCAGACACACAATGGGTTAGAAGGTGCTGGAGCTAGAATGACCTCATGGAGACTCACAAGAATTACAAGGCAACACAAAACAACTCCGAAAACAAACAAAGAACCAGAAACAAACGACAAAACGATCACAAAGAAAAACAAAACGACCACAAAGAGAAACTAAACGACCACAAAGAGAAACTAAACGAGCAGAGAGACACACTTAGAAACCACAATAGAAGCAAACCTATGAAAATAAATGCAAAAGGACTACAAGCAACAGCTAAACAAACACAAACACAGATTCAATAATGATTACAAAGACAATGAAATGTCTATAAAGACGATTAAAAACAACAACGATCAAACAACATTTACAGCTGCAAAATGACAACATAAGAAAATCAGGACAAAAGGACATTCTAAATGATTATAAAAGTGAAAAATGAAAACAATTGTGAACAAATGGAGCACTTAGAGACACAAACAGACAATAAGGACATTTAAAACAACTTTCGTGACACTGAAAAGTAGTTCTAACTGAATGCAAAATGAGAACAGAGCCACAAACAAAAAACAAAAAAGGCAAAAATGCATTTTTAAAGAAATGTAAAAATAACTAAGTCAGGGTGCTGGATTGGGTTTTTGGTTTTGTCGCACGCCCGACGTGCAGCAGCCATGGGTTTGAATCTGACCACAGCTCTCTGCTGCATGTCATTCCCTACTCTCTACTCTCTCCTGTCTCTCTTCAGCTGTCCCATTCAATAACGGCAAAAAGGCAAACAATAGTGACAACTTAGTGACAAAGAAAAGACACAAAACCACAATGTAGAGACAAATAAAGCTCAACGCAATTCTAAAGTACCAACAAAGAGAAGCAAAGCAAATAGACACAAATATATCAGAGACACAAAGGACTACAAAGACATAAAAAATCAAAAAACAAACAAATCAACTACATAAAGACTCAAGATACCCATAAAGAAAACACAAAGCCACCTCATAGACAAGGAACAGCACACACTTTCAATAAATGCAAAATGAACACAAAGAGAAGCAACAACAACGGGACTTTACAAAAAAATCACAAAGCAATGAAATACTGCAGAAAAACACAAAATGACACCAAACAAGGCATCTACAAACAAACCACCACCAAGCAGCTATGTTGTGTGTAGTTTCATTTTGTCTATCTCTGTGTCTGTGTCCTCCAGTGTAAGATAAGTGTAGGTGGAGGACTTTAAGATGTGCTATAAGCTGCCAGGTAGCTCGTACGGCCATGGACAGAAAACATACCCTGAAATGTATTCCCAAAAATCCAATGATTTTTAATTGAATCATGATTTCCCTCTAGCAGGTCATTGAAAGCTCTCACATTGTTTTAATGATTAACGAACTTGTGATTTAATGGAGATGCTGGAGATCAATCCCTGTTTGTTTACGACTGCTTCACACGTATGTGAACAGTGGCAGCAGCCTCCCTTCATCTGTCCGGCCTGCTCGCTGTCCAAAGGGAGAGCTAATTGTCCCACAGGTTGTGGACGGATCTGGACGGTGTATTCGGCCTTTGATCTGACTTGAAAGGAGTTAATTGATCTCTGTGTTGCAGGCAGTGTTGGAGGGAAGAAAGAAAGAAAAAAAGAAAAAAAAGGGATGCTTGCTGGTCATTCCCCAACATGTGCAGAAATATCTGAGAGAGAAAACGAGAGGGGGGGAGAGAGAGAGAGAGAGAGAGAGAGAGAGAGGGGATGAAGAGAGAGATCACCTCACACCCAGCTCCATCCCTGCTCAATTACAGTAATTTGACTCACATGGGCCGGCCGCCGAGTCAGAGGAAGAGGGGAGGAGAGCCGCTGTGTGGGGGAGGCGAGGGGATCCCTGCTCTGGGAGATCACTCATCTTACCTCAGGCTGAGGTACGCAGAGACAGATTTGATGTGCGGCTCCCCTCGGAGAGCAGCCTGGGGGCTTGTTAAGGTGGCTGTAAGGAGAAGACCACACGTCCGACCTCAGACTTTAAATCTCAGTGGGGCACTCGAAACATTTGATGACGTCAGTGTGGAAGGAAGAGGCAAAAGAATGCTGCAGGTAACTAAATGTTGACTATGAGTTTTACTGCATAAATCATTTGTGTTTCTTGAAATATTTGTTCTTGATTTTAAATCAGTTTCATTACAAAGTACATCCTTTTTAAGGTCACAGAAGGTTTAGCCTCTCCCAGCATGCACTGGGCTGAAAGAACAACATTAGGAAGCACAGTTTCTGTTTGCCGTTTGTTTTTTAGGAAAATAAAAATCCAGTGAACCGTTTTTTGTGACATTACATGTTCTGTCAGTGTGATTTTCTGCATCACCTGCCTGTGAGTCTGTTTGGGTCCAGGTCTGGTCTGGTCCTGCTTTGACAGGCTTCCTGCCTTCACTACTTCACCTCTGTGAGTCTCTGGTCACCCTAGCTCAGGGGGAAACAGGGCTGTCAGGGGGAGAGTGGCAGGCTAAGCCTGTCTTAACACAGCACCTCAAACCACCTCATAAATACAGGCTTCCTTTTCCAATTTCCAAGCGGGCCATCCACCTCTGTCTACATGCTTCCACACTGCTCCATGTCATGTGCCGGGGTGTGAGTTTAAAAATGACCATGGGACATCTGGCCGACTCACAGAGGGTGGGGCTTTGATGTGCTGCTCTGCAGTTCAGCTCAGCATCAACAGAGGAAAAAAAAGTAGACATATGAGTCTGAAGTGGGTCCGGAAGGTCAAAGACAACAAGGAAGTAAAAATACGCCTTAAAAAAGATTCACCACATATGAAATGATAAGCGAAATACAGCAGCCCTTCACTGTAACGATTGTTCAAACAGCTGCTAAGGACAAATGAAGCTGTTTCCATTTTAATTGAAAGTGTGGTCTCTGAAAATCATAATTATTTTCCATATCATACAGCAGGGAGAAAGGAATAGTGAAACCATGTGAGGCAGCTTTTTGATGGGTGCTGCTGGGCCGGGCTCATGAGGGAGTTGTGGTTCTGAGGGCTTGATTGCTCTTTGCCCATCTGGAGAGTTTGGCTGCAAACTTCCTGATACCATGAATGCAAAAGTGCTGATTATCTTCATCTAAACTCTGGTCTCTGATGTGCAGAGCTGATGTCACACTGCTCTACCTGCCGTGTCTCTGAAAAGATCCAGAGCTTGTGTACTGCTTAAACTGGGCAATAAAGGGATACCATTAACACTGGTAAAGCTGCAGATGTTTTACTGTAGTTTAAAGTCAACACTTCTGATGAAAAGAGCAAAAACCAACAATGTGGTAATGCAATAGTAGCTTAGCATGAATGCCCCCAGCCTGTCTATAGCATTCACCTGAGGCCTGTTTGTTCCTCTTCTTGGCACAATTATTTCAAAACAGACTGACACATTAATTTAAAAGAAAATGCCTAATTCAGCTGGGAAATGTAGTTTTTAGCTAAAGTAACTCAATCGGATTAAAATGTGCATTTATTGGGAACTAGTAACAGCTAAAGCTAAATACTGAAGAATGTGGGGTGAATTCAAATTAAACTACAGTGCCTGTGTTTCCCACTAAATTCATTTGAATCTACAGACCACACTTGTGAAGAAGAGTTCTATATTGGTGATTTTACTCTTTTCATTGGATATGTGATGTTCAACATTTCTCCTAAGTTTTGTTTACATTTCATACTCCATATAGTACTGCTATATTTTGTGGGGGGCTTTTACTGTAGAGACAGGACAGTGGTAGGAAATCAAGGAGATGAGATAGTGAATGGGAATGACATACAGGAAAGGAGCCGCAGGTCGGATTTGAACCTGGGCCACTAGCTTTGAGGACTGAAGCCTACGTATGTGGGGTGCGTGCACTAACCACTACGCTGCCAGCGCTCCTACTGCTATATATTTTTCACATATATTAGATTTTTACAATGGATGCTAATATGAAAACATCTTGATAATTTAGATAAAGTTTGAATAAATGTAGCATTAAAGTGATATAAGCTGCAAAGTATTTTCTCACACATGCCAGTGAAATAGGTGATCACATCTTCACCTTTTTAACTGGTTGTGTGAGAATCTGTTTACGTGTGTCATACTGTTCGTGTGCACTTTCGGCACAGCGGGGAGGAGTGCCGCAGCAGCCTGTCACTGTGCTCCAGGGCATCACTGACACGAGTGTCACCTTCATGAAGGAGCGTGAAAACTGCTCCCTCTGCACAGGATGCTTCAGACCGTCGCTCTGACTCCAGCAGCAGAACAGAGGAGTTAGCGCAAAAGAAACTCGCAGAGGGTTGTCATCTGTTGTTCGCTTCATTAAGCACCTGTGAACACCAGGAGCCATTAAGAAACTTTGGTCAGGAAAATAAATAAATACCTGCACTGTTAGCACAATCCACAACTTCACAAACTTAGCAGGAGAAGAGTCTAATTAACCACAGGCACATTAATCCCCATTAATTACTTTCTAATACTAATTACAACAGGAAAAATGTGCAAATGGATTCTGACAATTTAATTAGCTGCAAATGACACGTGAGCAGGAGTGAGAAGATTGTGATGTTTTGGTATCGAAGTGTAAATCTTGTTGCTGAATCTGGCTGCAAAGTGGAAGCAGAGTAGTTTTTCAAACTATACAGCTATAAATGGGCAAAAGCACATTTAAAAAACTAAGATCTAATGTTGTGTTCTGTTTCTAAGGACCTGACGTGGGCGGCGTCTGGGGTAAAAGGCTCCTGCATCTCATTGCTCTGCTTGTTGTTGCTGCACGTTGCTCATGATGAACTCTGTGATGGAAAGATGCTTCTGCTGGAAAATAAACATCAGAGGAGCTTGTTCTTGTTTGTCCTCCATGAATGCTGCTCACTGTCAGCACAGCCCTGTTATGAGCACAAGTTCAATCTATTCTAAGCATGATGTCGTTCTTTTCAACACTTCTCATGTGAGCATCAAAGTACGATAAGAAAAATCAAGAAAAGTCACTCTCAAAAAATAAATTAAAACACATTTTTGAATTTAATGCCCATAATTGTACATTATTGAAAATACTTTTAAAATAATTATAATAATTTAAATAAAAATCAAAATATTTCCTTTCATTATTTTACATCCTGGAGTCTTTCTGCTGAGTTTCAGTCCTCATGTCTGTGTGTCTCTGTTCGTAAACTTTGGGTGGAGAGTTAGACGGCAATGCTCCTCTCTGTGGTGAAGTTGTATTGAAACTGCAAGAGGAGAAAAAAAGAGAACACAGTTAAAGGCAAAACTAAGAGTCAAAACACAACAAATAACCACTATCCTTCAATAACAAATGTTTTCAAACAACAGAAAGAGTCAAATATATACATGTATAAAATGCTGGAGTGTCACACTAACTGTCCCAGCTGAGTGCCATCACAATAATCTAAATACCTTCCCAACCGTTCTAAGATATATATAAGTAAATAAATATTAGAAATGTAATATTGTTATAGTCCAATTTTAAAACTTCAGTCCTACTGTTGACTCATACAGAATACAAAATAGATGGTAGAGCAGAATGTTGATCAGGAAATACAAACAAACACCTCCCCCTTGTGGTAGGTCAGGGACATAACTTTTTGTTTTTAAAGCAAAGGGGCTTTAACAGTTCTTGGCTTAGGTAACTTTTCAAATGCAAGAAAATTTGCTTTTTATTTCGATTATATAATTTTTTTTTTTTAAATGCAAAGATCCACTGCTATAAGCAACTGAAATGTTAATGCTAGCGGTCACTTAAGTCTTATTTTGTGACGATCCTAAACAATGGATGAAACACAGCAGAAGGTCAAAAATGATAGCACATTACTTTTAGCCTAGATACAGACCTAGAGGCCAGGATGGGACAGATCCAAACTAGCAGTTTTTTTCTTTTATTGAAAAAGAAAAGTTCAGTGATCACATGATCAGCTAAACTCGCCATCAGTTTATTAGTCCTAAGCAATCTCAGGTCTAAAGTAGGTTGACATAAAAATGATTCCTAAATTCTATGCTGTAAAATGTTAAACTGTTTAATCTTTGAAGAAAGAGAGTGGCCATATTGGATTGTAATTTTATTAGCCAAAACACTGACTCATTTCTCTTATGACAATAAGAGATGACAATGATTGATTCTTATGACAATACAAATATTTTGAACAGCAAGTTCTCAGAGCTGTGACCTAATCTAATCCAATTTCCAAATACTATTCAGCTAACTAATGATCAAACAAACAGTATCAACAGTGATCAGCTGATGGCCAAACTGCTTTCAGTAATGACACAGTAATGATTTTTCATGGGTAAAGTCCAGTGAACTGTGTGTCACAAAGTGAAGCTCATTTCACAAAGTTACACAGTTGTAATACTGCAGTGCGTCACTAGGTGATGCTGTTTGATCACTGAAACAAGTTTCCAAATCTCCCAACAGAAGCTGAGGAGCAACAATGGCTCCAACCGGCTTCTCTCGATCAGAATACCACCTTCCCTGATTCTCATCTGCGGCGGGAAAGAACTGCAAGTTACCCAAAAACCTGTCACATATCACAAGCCTGTTAGTTGTGAAGAAATCCAGCCCCCCCCCCACCACACAAAAATCCAGTGCCAACATCTGGCACAGTAAATAAATAATCCTGTGTGTACGTGCATATGCTCGAGTGTGTGTGTGTGGATGATGGATGGGGGAATGGGGTGTTATCAGGGAGAGCATGTATCAATGTCTGCCAGTTTTACACACAGGCTGACAGGACAGTGACACACTGGAACATGGGCGGCAGTCACCTAGACGAGCCCGGCTTCATTTCCTGTCCCCGCTGCACTGCCAAAAATATGTGACATGTTGTCTTCATTAATTCCACCTCTATTTGGAGCTCTCCCTCTCACACCTCACACATACACTACTGTCCCTCTATACATTCACATAAGCAGGCACAGAAACAGATAGACACAGATAGATAGACACACACACACACACACACACACATACATACAGATAACTTCCTGCAAACACTGAAAGCCCATCATACATAGGTGCTAATGAAAATCTTGTCATGTGTGCACACACACTCCACCCTCACACACTCCTTCTGAAAATCATTAGCCAGCCGCCAACAACATTTCTCAGCAGAGCAAACTACATAAAGACGTCACTTTAAATCGCTTACTAATTAACACTTAAAAAGACACAAATTAGATATGCGTGGCTAAAAGCAATTATAATATCCGCAAGTTTTGTGAGTCATTTGGGAAATGAAAAGAATGCCTAATTGCTGGAACCAACATCATCCGAGACACGGCTTAAGTGATGCCTGTTAGGAAATGGTCTTATCTACAACTGTGGCAGTGATTACAACAGTTTTCCTCAATTACATGTGCATATGTATAATTCTACAAAGCACATCTCTTTCATGAGTCCATATTTTGAGTGGCTTTAGAAAGGAGGCAATTAGGTTCTGAGGCAGAAGGTGCCTCTTGTTTTTGAGGATGAGAAGAAAAGCCCAACAGTCAGGCACAGACAGTGACCTCTTCTGGACAAAAGGAGGAGGGAAATAACCGGGCTACAGCTGCTTTTCAAAAGAACAGCTTCCTTTTTTAAGTGACATTCAGTTACTTTTTGTGTTGAATCATCAAGAAGCAGCTGAATCTTCAAAAGAAGCCTGGACTACAGACAGGACATTGCATTTAAAGCGTCATTTAAAAACAGCTTTTTATGAATTTAAATGCTGTTTCTTTCTTGTTTCATAACACCAAGAACAAGCTGCCACTTCAGCTGAAAGGAAAATGCACATTCAAAGTTGTTATTTTTCTTCTGAGAAAAATCATCAAAACTACACAGAGGAGAGGGAAAATATGCCTCACTTTCTAAAAGAAACACTTCTGCTGTCCGACGTGTTTGCGAGAACATCTCTGACAATGTTTCCTTCCTCTTGTTTCCGCAGATATCATTGTGGTCTCATAATAAGAGCAGAGAAGTAAAAATAACACAATGGTGAGGGATGTTTCCACTTGGAAACTAATTATCAAGCTAAGCTGTGACTTCATCCTCATCAGCCTGGCCCCACCATTAATCTTGTGCTGTCGTCCACTTCACTAAATCCTGTGTGTTACACTATCTCACATTTACTTCATCAGCTCCATGCGCGGCTGTAATTAATGATTTCTCATGCCCCCTCTCCTTCCCTTCCACAGCTCAGCTCACCATGTGTCCTGCTGCTAATCACACTCCGAGAAGAAAGGGAGGAAGGAGAGGAGACGAGACGAGGGGAGGAAGGAGGAGGATAGAAAAAAAAAAAAAAAGGACAGGAGCATATAGGATGAGCAGCCAGCCTGTCTCTTACTCCTGGCAAAACACACACACATACACGTACACGCCATTAATACCTGCGCTTGACAATGAGCTTCATTCAGATGACCATATGACAAGATGGCGACTGGGTGTGATTTGGATAGTATGTGACAGAAGACAGAGGCAGAGTGCAGAACAGACACCCGGTTTGATGAGGGAGTGTTTGCTCTGTAACACATCTCAAACCCAACAGCACCTGTTCTTTTACAGTGGTCTGTCACTTCCTGGCAGTTCTGATACCAAGATACCGTGCTAATGAGAGAGAAGGGGGGTTGTCACTCTCTTTAAAGCACACACACGAAGACACACACACACACACACACACACACACACACACACTGACTTTTTCTTCTCCTCTGAAACACATGGGCTCTAAAGACAGAGCTACACGCATGGTTTTCTTCCCGCGAATGCCTGCAGGCTACAGTGTTTCATCAGGAATGAGGAGGACTTTGTTGTGCTTTTATTTGCTCTTTATGATCTCTTAACTTTTTTTTTTTCCCTACTGAAGATGAAGCTGTTTGAAAAGTTAAACATGCAGAATGTGACCAGGAAAGCCCTCTCCAGATCTCCAGCACTGCCTTGTAGATGCTAGATTGAGCTGTTTGAGAGAAGTATTGGGGAATAAAAGTCAAGTGTTTTGGAACCGGAGACGAAGCTTTTAAGAGAGAATGGCTGCCTCGCCTGGCCATGCTTTTATTCAATTGGGGCTTAGTGGAGCCAACAGGGCCTCGCTGTCTCAGACACTTAATTACAACCCCAAGACCGTTTGCTTTGCATTCTGGGCCAGCGGCGTCAGCGGCAGCCGAGCGTTGCAGCCTCTACTCACTTCCTCCTCGATCTCTGCCAGGGATTTGATCGTAATGCCCATTAAATTGACTTGCTGCATCTGAAATCAAAAGCAGGGGGAGGAGGGGTTGGGGGGGATGGAGGAAGGAAAAAAAAAAAATACACACAAGAAACATGGCGGTTAGGCTCATGGCTAAGTAAGCATGCTTAAAATCTTTAATCCTCTCCCTCTTGGTGTCAATACAAACGGGGCTATAGTGACTACCACCGCCAGCCAGCCAAATGGACTGCATTGAGCCAGCTCTGCCTGACTGCACGCATTCATCACTCAGTCAGGAAAGGAGAGAAAGGAAAGGACAGAAGGAAACAAGAGGACATAAAAGAAAAGCCAAGAAGTGGAAGTAGAAACTAAAGGCAATACACTCTGAAAAAGGAACAAACATGATGACCATCATGTGGTCATTGTACAGTCAACTGTCATCATCAGAAGCGATCATAACCCGGCTCTCAATATTTGTAATAAAGCAATAACTAAGAATCTTTTCAATACTTCTTAAAGAATGATTACCTCTTTGGGTTTTCTTCCACTAAACTTCTCAGAGATCACAAAGGGCACATCATCCAGAGCTGCAAAAGAGTAAAAAAAAACAAGGTTTATTCCATTCAACAACAACATCAACAACAAAAGAAATATTACTCCCTATTCTTGATCCTTAGTATATCCACAAGAACAAACGTGGGTTTATAATACAGCAAAGCTATCAACCTCCCCAGCCTCCCTGACACCTCCCCTCCTTCCGTCTAT